GAATGTTTTCTCATCCATAAAACGAAGGAGGTAGAATAAGTAACCTGATTTTCATCTTTCTGTATTTCTGATATAAGGGATGTTTCAGCTAAAACATTTACAGTGATCTCAAACAAGTTAGCACTTCAAGCTCCTAAGGTACATTTTCAGATTATCTTAAACTGGCTGTTCATCAGCCCTGGCAACACAGTGAGATCCTGTCTCTATAAAAATTAAAAAATTAACCAGGTGCAGTGGCAGGTACCTTAAGTCTCAGCTACTCCTGAGGCTGAGATGGGAGGATCCCTTGAATCTGGGAGTTCAAGGGTGCAGTGGGCCTCAGTTGTGCCACTGCACTCCAGCCTGGGTGAGAGAGTGAGACACAGTCTCAAAAAAAAAAAAAAAAAAAAAAAAAAAAAAAGACTGTTTTTCTAATTTTGATGATGGACATGTGTTTCATTATGCATACTCTTTATAGTATACAAAAATATGCATTCTGTTACTGATCTTATTTATAGTTTGAAGTCTAGCCAATTTAGCCTCAATATAATAATAGTAATAACAGCTTTTGCTTGGTATGTGCCATCCCGTTATAAGAGCTCTATGTTATTAATTTACTAAATGCTGTCAGCTAGCCCGTTAGGTAGGTACTCTTTTTTTTTTTTTTTTTTTTTTTTGAGACGGAGTTTTGCTCTTGTTGCCCAGGCTGGAGTGCAGTGGCTCCATCTTGGCTCACTACAACCTCTGCCTCCCGAGTTCAAGCAATTCTCCTGCCTCAGCCTCCAGAGTAGCTGAGATTACAGGCGCCAGCAACAACACCCAGCTAATTTTTTGTATTTTTAGTAGAGACGGGGTTTCACCACGTTGGCCAGGCTGGTCTCGAACTCCTGACCTCAGGTGATCCCCCTGCCTCATTCTCTCAAAGTGCTGGGATTACAGGAGTGAGCCACCACGCCCGGCCGAGGTAGGTACTCTTATTATCCCCATTTCACAGATGATAAAACTAACGCCCAGAGAGGATAAGTAACTAGTCCAGGGTTATGCAGTTAGGTTGGGATCTGAACCCGGTTACAGAGCTCAAGACTCTCACTGGTTTGGCGACATTGCCTCTCATATGCGTTACTAATACGTGATTAAAAAAAAAAAAAGATGTCACTTATGGCGGTGGCTCACTCCTGTAATCCCAGCACTTTGTGAGGCCGAGGCAGGTGGATCACCTGAGGTCGGGAGTTCGAGAGCAGCCTGACCAACACGGAGAAACCCCGTCTCTACTAAATACAAAAAATTAGCCAGGAGTGGTGGCGCTTGCCTGTAATCCCAGCCCCAGCTACTCGGGAGGCTGAGGCAGGAGAATCGCTTGAACCCAGGAGGCAGAGGTTGCAGTGAGCCGAGATCGCACCATTGCACTCCAGCCTGGGCAACAAGATCGAAACTGAGTCTCAAAGAAAAAAAGAAAGATGTCACTTAATGAACAGAAGATAAACAGGATGAGACCCAATAGAAAATTAGGTTTTGAGGAAAAAAATATTTTAAAACAGTAAATTGCAAACTGTGGTTGTGCCAAAAAAACTTACAGGGTAATTTCACTAGAAATGTCCTTGTCAAGTTTGGGGAGGAAGTCAGACCGTTTTGCGAACTTGAACATTTGTTTAGTCAATTCCACGGTGTGGAGGCACTAGGAGTGAAATGAAGCCAAGCCACTCCAGGGCCCTGCCACCTGTGTCCCAAGCAGGGTGGATGGAGACTGATGCAGAACCCCCTTGCTCCCCACGCGCCAGGGCAATGAGGAGCCCGCGTGCAGGTGCCTGATTCCGCTAGCCAGTGGGCGAGGGTCCTGCCGACACCGAGGGCACCAAGGCTGGGGTTTTGATACCAACGAACCCCAGCCAGGTGACTGGGGAATGTGGGGAGGTCGACAAAGAGCGACAGGCTTTTGCTAATTTTTTTTTTTTTTTTTGAGATGGAGTCTCGCTCTGTCGCCCAGGTCGAGGGCAGTGGCGCGAGCTTTTGCCAAATTATGAGACGGACAGGAATCGAGGAGATTCCCCTGTAGCGCTGTCCACCTTCCGGATAGAAATCCTGTCGACCACGTTCACTTCTCCACCCGGTGCATCGCCGGTGGTCCGTGAGCAGCAGCTGCTCCCCAGGGATCCCCCTAGCCTGTCCGCGAGCGCTCTGCACCGCCTCGTCCCTGCTGCTGGGGTCGCTCGCTGGCCCTGGCTGCTCGCCAGGGTTTTCCTTTGATGCTGTCAAGTCCGGGAAGCTCACATTGCAACTCAGTGTTGGCGCGCCGCCCCTCCCAATGCCCCTTCCCCACTCACTCCCCCACAAGCGTGGAGGGAGGTGGGGGAGGTCGTGGCGCCTATAGACCCCCTCCCGGCGCCCACTCTCTCTCGCCCACTTCTCTAGCAGCCGGAGGGCCGCAGCGCACGCAAACCTTTCCCCAAAACGCCCACCCCACTGTTAGCTAGTTGCATCTCTCAGGGCTCCTCCCCCACCCATTCCTCCGCCAGAGCTGGGTGGGGGGATCGCGGCGCACACAGAGACGGGAAAGCCACCCCTGTCCCGGAGCGCCGCTTCCCTAGAGGCCCCTGGCCTGTCCGCTCCCCCAACGCTGGAGGATACCCGCGCACACAGACCCTCCCCTCCAACGCCCACCTCGGTCCCCAGCAGCAGCCCGCACCCCCACCTCCCGCCCCCAGTCTCCCGCCCTCCGCTCCCTGCTTTCCAGTCCGCAGTCCGGGCGCCCAGACTTGTTCCGACTTCCCAGGGCAGCTCCGAGGGTGCGGAAGATCAAGTGCCCGGATTTGTTCCAGGAAAATCCCGGCGGCGCCTGCACGTTAACTGCCTTGGCGCAGGCGAAGGGTGGAGGGCACTTCTCTGTTCATTCGGTTTTCAAGAGCATGAACAGAGGCTCCGAGTGAACGCCCACACCTAGTTGGTCCTCTGGGGTCCATGCGCCGGGCTCCCACTTCCTCACCCTGCCCCTCGGTGCCCCTGCCCTGGTTGCACTTCTCCTAAAAGCAGGCGCTCTGATTCCAGGAGGCTCTGTCTCCTTTCCCTTCCCAGCGGCGCTCAAACCACCCGCCCCGGGCGCCTGGCCCCTTCCTTATCCTCTCCCTACACGGTGAGAACGCCGACGCTTCCACCCGCCTGGACTTTCCAAAATACGCTTCGGGTGATCAGTGCGATTTCTAGGGTCTAAAGTCTAGACTTCTGCGTTCTCCACCAAGTCACCGACCCGAGGCCGCAGAGGTGGAATCGCGGACGCCCTGGCAGGCCCGGGACATACTGATCCTGGTGGCGCGAAGGCCCTCTTCGGACACAGACGCACCCGCAGCCACACTCCCCCAAACACGCACTAAAGCTACCGGCAGTAACCCCCGACTCGCACCCGCTCCCGCCCAGCAGCAACGGCGACACCCCGAGGTCCGGACGCGCTGCGCGCCCCTCCTAGCCTCGGCCACTTTCCAGCACGAAGCCTCAGGGAGAGCCCGAGAGGAAGAAAGAGAGGTCGAGGAACCAGGATACTCACGAGCCCACTGTCCACCCCGCCAGCCGGAGGGGAAGCCCCGGCCGGCTCGCCTCCGTCCGCCGTGCGCATGCGTCCGGCGGGTGCCTTCTTTCTATTGCAGCGCCGAGGGCTGCCCTCTCTACGTCTGCGATTGCTCCGGGCGCCTTTCCCCTTTCTCCGGCTCTCGATCTTTGCTGTAGCCCTTTTCTCCCGGCCTCTTCCTCCCCTTGCTCTGCCTCCTCCCCGCCCCCTCACTCCCTTTACCCGGCCGGGCAATCCCACGTCTCGCCTCCCTCCAGCGGCGGCGCACTCCACCGCGGCGGGCGCTAGGGGTATCCCCGAGGTCCCAAGCGGCGCGCGACCTCCACCCCGGCCGCAGCCTCACTGCTCCAGCCCTGGATTAGCAAGTCCCAGGAGTGTGGATACGAAGCCAGGCGCGCGTGGAGGGCGTCCTCGAAGCCCTCTGTGTCATCGCCTCCCCTCGGCGCGCGGGGGCAGAGCGAGACTCGAGTGTGCTGGACTGCGTGCTCGGACCTTGTGAATGAAGGGAGCGGGAGGGAGGAGCGGGGTTGGGCGGCTGGCGCGGAGCGGGTGCTTGGTCCCCAGAGCTTTGCGTCTGTGGACTGCCCGCCTACAGAGGGCAGCCCCCTACCTTCTCCGCGGCCCGGGGCACCTCTCGGAGCTCTGTTCCCGCCCCTCCCCGGCGCAGCCTCGGCCTCCGGTCTTCCCGCCCTGGAAAGCGGCCCTCGCCGCCTCCCAGCTAGCCAGAGCGCGGAGGCCCCACTCGGCAAACGAGCGGGGGATAAGGGGAGGAACTAACCCCTGACTCCGGCTCCCGCTGAGACCCTCGGCAGTCGCCCTCCGCGTCCCCTTCTCCAGGGACTCCCGAGTCCGGGGAGAGGAGTAGACCAGGGGGCAGCGGGAGGGAGAACCAAGCTGCCCAGCTCTCCAGACTCGCCACACCGCGTGTCCCCGTAGCCCGCAGCGTCCCCTCGAGAGTGGGACCCGGTGGGGCCGCGGGGGTAGTTCCCTGGAGCCCGGAGGGCTAAGCTGAAGCTGGAAACTGACCTGACACAAAAATAACATCACGTCATTTCCTCCCTTGCCTGCCGAGAGGGCAGGGGAGTGGGAGAGCGAGCGCGGGGAGCCGGCGGAGGCGCGTCTGGGGGAGGCTCGGAGTAGGGGGAGGAGAGCGACACGCCGGGAGTTTGAAAGGCAGTTTGAAAGGGAAGAGCGAGGGCTCCCTCCCGTTTTCTTGGACCCTGGAAAGGAAATGGCCCAGGAAAAAGTAGCTTGGAGTGTCTTCCCGCGAGGAGGGGCGGTGTCCCGGGAGCCTCCAGTGTCCCGTCCTATGACTTGCCCAGCCTTGTCCCGGCCTAACCGACCTTGCCGCCTTTCCCCGCTGCTGGCCCGGGCGGAGCGGGTCAGTCGGGGTTAGGAAGAATCGGGAGAGGCTGGTGTCCTGGGGAGGCTGGGTGTGGGGCGTAATGGAGACCACGATACTCACCGGCATGGGCGAGCTCTGCCCAGCGGTGGCGTCTTCTTCCCTGGGCTTGCCGACCGGACGGGCGGGCCTCAGCGGACGACCCCCCGAGGGTCGGCCGGGCAGTGCCAGCGCCGCCCCGAGCAGGAGCGAGAGGCGGCCTGGCAGCTCCTCGTGCCCCCGCGAGAGCCGGGCGGCCGGCAGGGCGGGAAGCAGGGGGGAGAAGTTCGGGCGCCTCCGGGGAGCTTCAGGAGGGGGTCGCCGGAGAAGGTGAGAGAAGAACCTTGTGAGACTGGAAAGCGGGCTATAAAGGAGGCCGAGCAGCTTCGGGGCGGCAGGCGAGTATGGGAGCTGTGCAGGCGGGAAGGGCTGGGGCAGGGAGAGAGAAACAAAACCAGCATACGGTTAATGTGGTGTCCGGCCGCTTAGACGGGGCTCTTTACTACAGAGTTTTGAGGCGTTACTTTGGGGGTGCAAGAGAAGGTTGGTGAAAGCAAAAGGAAAGGCCTACAGTTAGATTCTTTCCCCTCCCACTCCTGTTTTTCCTAACTCCGTGCTACTTGAAGTGTGGTCCGTGGGCCAGCAGCTTCGCCAACACCTAGGAGCTTGTTAGAAATACTCTTGAGCCCCACCCAGGCTACTGCATCGGAATCTGCATAGTAGCATTCCCAGGGGACTCTTACGTGCGCTGAATGTGACATGCGCTATGCAGAAGGGTCTGTGTTCACATCTCCTGGTTCTTCAGAATTTGGATGAAAATCTTAGTTCACTTTTGTAACTGTTACTCTTCCCCTCCCTTCTCTGATCTTCCCTTGTTCCCCCTGCCCTTTCGCATCTCCCTAAGTGCCCAGGGTTCTGCCTGCCAGAGGCATAGAGTTCGCCTTGGCTACTAGATTCTATTGGGATTGTTGCCTACGGAAGGTCCAGATACTGGCTGAAGGTGGCTGAAGGGCCCCAGACCCTTCACAGGATGGTTGGAGAAAGGGACTGGCCATTGCGGCTGTGGTTATGTTACGTGGAGCAGGGAACACCGGGATTCCATGTTAGGGCTGCTACTACAAGTGAACCCTCTACGGACCCCCTTTCCAAACTCCATGTGTCCTTCTTATTCTCGGGAACACCGGCCTTTCCACCTTCCACTTGTTGCTTAGGAGACCTAAGCGTTGAGGATTTTTTTTTTTCCCCTTGGAAAGTGGAGGGAAGCATTAGTTTAGAAGTCAGAAACCCACGGTTCTACACTCAACCTTGCCACGAACTTAATGGCTAATACTGGGAAAGGCTCTTTATTTTCTGAGTTCATTTATAAAGGGATTGAACTCAGTAGCTTTTTAAGGTCACCTGCCTCGTTCAGGCTCTCATCTTTGAGACGCTCTAAGTTTCTTGGTGCACTGACGTTTAGTGTAGTTACAAACCGGAATGTAGCTCGGCCAATCCAAACACCCCCTCATGCCAAACAAAAAACAATTTAATCTGTCTGTGAAAAACAAGAGCGGTGGTTGCCAAAAAAAATGAAGGTGGAGGCGGGAAGCAGCGAATAAAGTGCCGGGGTGGTGAGGCGCGGGAGGCGAGCGCGGGTGCTCTGGGTTGGGCGTGGGTCCCAGGGGCGCGGCGGCCGCTCTCCAGGGTCCTGAAGGCGGGAGCGGTCGCGGGCGGCCTCGTGGGCCTGGCGCGGTTCCCTCACTCCGCAGTCACCAGGCCCGGCCTGTTTTCTTTCGGCGGTGGAAGTCTTGTGGGAAGCGATTGTCAGGAGAGAGGGAAGGAAACCTAGCAACCCATTCTCATTCATGAGGCCTTTTCTGGGAAAGCCGCGAGTGCGGTGGCTGATTTGTCTTTCTGTCGTTTGTTTGCCCCCGGGTGAGTTGAACTCGGTTTGCATTTCCGAGTAAGTTCACACTGTTTCACTTCCCCTCATTACCTTTTCCTGGAGAATGGGGTCGTTCTCCTAGTATTTTCATTCTCCCCGTTCAGCTGCTCCCCTCCCCCGCTCTCTGGCAAGGTGCTTTTATTTTAGGGGCTGGAGCTGGGAGCCGAGGAGGCTTCTGGAGAAGCGCCAACAGCTTCCTGGAGGGGGTAAAGTGGGCGACTTGGAAATCAGTCTTGGCGCCCAGGGAATGAGCTGCTGAGCGTTCGTCTCGCCCGGGAGGAGGACAGGGGACGCGACCCTCCGGCTGGGGCTTGGGGTGTGGAGGCTCAGCTGCCGCCATGTGTGCTCGGCCTCCGCCCGGCAGCTGGTCCTGGGAGGCACCTGCGGGGGACTGCGGGGCGGCGGCCGCGTCTGCGCCCCGCTCCGGAGCTAGGGCCCTCGGCGAGGGCGGGAACTTCGGCGGCCAAGGGCGCCCGGGCCGGCGGGACCCTACGCTAAGAAGTCGAGAGAGGACCAGCCGGGTTCCTGGAGACCTAAAGCCTGATGAGCCCACCCACGACTTTCCTGACCCTACGCAAGGGCTTGAACAAAGCCGAAAATGCTGAAAGGGAGCGCCCAGCACTCTTCTGCGACGCACGCCCAACTTCGAGGAGCCGGAGCGAGCTCCAAAGGCCTTTCGTGGGTTGCAGAATTTGTCGTCTCCAGCTCCTGTTTTCAAATGGTTTTGTGAGAACGTGCGAACTCGTAACCTCGTTTCTCCCCTCACCCCAGTCCTTCTTCCCGAGTCACTTGCACGCCCCTGCCCCTTCCTTGGGCACGCTTCATTAGGCATTTTGCTTCGGTCCTGTGCTTTGAGACAGAGACTCTTGTGAGGGAAGTGGTGGAAATGGTCAGACAGAATAAAAGTCCCAAACCTGATCCAAGAAAAACAAGACTCAGCTCCTTTGCTCCTCTGGAGACAGTCACCGCTTGCCGGCCCCACACTGGCCTCCGGATCAGCCGCCTGCTCGCCTGCTTCTCTGAAGCCACCGCGAGTCTGGCTCGCGGAACCCAGCGGCTTCTCCAGTTAGGGGAAGGGATGAGGGTGAATCAAGCAAGTTGTGGGGTGCTGGAATCCTTCCGCACTTCTGGCAAGGACGAAGCCGAAGAGTATCAATGTAGCCAAAAAATTCGATCTGAGAAAAGACCTTCAGCTGCCCGAAGGGCTGCACTTTGGGCTGCACTTCAGAGAGCCTTGTCCTCCTTTTAGGCCAGATTCTATTTGACAGTCTAAGGCTTTTAATAATATTAGCCACAGATTGGAATTATCAGGACCATATTCCTGGACGCACTGGCCCTTAGGGATCCAGATTATTTGGGGAATACTTTATTCCGATTGAACCACCACATCCCTAATCAATCATGTTGACTACTGAACAGCAACCAGAGTGCCTTTATGCAAACGAAAATCGCCACAGCCTAAATCCATATGAACAATGTCTTGCCCACTTCAAATGGAAGGTTTTCTCTCATGCTTAAACAGCAGCATTTCATAAAGGAAACATCCATAGCAGAATAAAGGACTCCTGTACCAAAACTTTCTGAGAGCCTTTAGAATTAAAGTCACGGTTCTAACAGAATTTGAAGTTAGTTTTATGAAATGACCTATTTTCTCCTGGACTTTATTTTTAAGTTCCACTTTGTTGTAGTTTAGTCATATTATACATTTTAACTTTCTGTTATTTGGAAATGTAATTCCTCCACTTGGATCGAAGAATCTAGCTGACAGTGAAAACTATAAAGGCAAATCTTCCCCTGCACTGACCATAAATTATGCAGATTGAAAGGTGGCAATATAAATAACAGCTCCTGGCTACTAGAGTCACAGGTTAACATTAATTTGAGGTGAACCCAACTCTTCATAATATGTTTCCATTATTAAGGTTCCTTCAGAATCTCAATGTTCCTCATGAACATACAACTCTTAAAAAGAATATTTCTGCAGCTCATAATCAGTTCTGACTTGTTCCATTCTTTTAATAACTTTTAAAATGTATTTATGCCTAGGGCTTATGTGGAGATGTCATAAAGAGATGTGTAATGGAGGCAATGATAAGGAGGGAGGAGGGGCTGGAAAGGGAAGTGGAGTGGGCCAGACATGAGAGCTACTTAGATGACTTGTATGTCTAGGGAAGGGAAACACTCAAAGGCTCTGTCTGCCCTGCTCCTGCAGATAACTGGGTCCTCTGTTCTCGCCACAGGCATTACTAGCCAAGTAAGGGACGTAGGGTAGGAGATGGTGTTTTTTGTTTTGTTTTGGTTTGGTTTGGTTTTGTTTTTTTTTTTCCCAGAGTCTTATTCTGCCACCCAGGCTGGAGTAGAGTGGTGTGATCTCAGCTCACTGCAACCTCCACCTCCTGGGTTCAAGCGATTCTCCTGCCTCAGCCTCCTTAGTAGCTGGGATTACAGGCATGCGCCACCTTGCCCAGCTAATTTTTGTATTTTTAGTAGATATGGGGTTTCACCGTGTTGGTCAGACTGATCTCGAACTTCTGATCTCATGTGATCCTCCCACCTTGGCCTCCCAAAGTGGTGGCATTATAGGCATGAGCCACCATGCCCCGCCGGATATGGTGCTTTGAAACTTATATAAAAACTGAACCCTTGTTATTCTTCTCCAAACTTTCTCCTCTTGCAGTCTTCACCAGCTTAGTAAATGGCAATTTAACTATTTTTGTTCAGGTGAAAAACATCATTGGAGTATCCCAGACTCTCTTTTTAAAATTCTCTGGCCAAATCCAACTACTTCATATTCACAGCTGTTACCCTGTGTTATATGTTGACTTGCACCTCCCAAAATTTACGTATTAAAATCCTAGTCCCTAGTACCTTGGAATATGACCTTACTTGGAAATAGCATTGCAGCAGATGTAATTAGTAAGATGAAGGCCACCCTATTCCAGCATGACTGGTATCCTTATACAAAGGGGAAATTTGGACACAGATATACACACAGAGAGAATGCCACGTAAGGCAGAAATTGGGTTGATGCATCCACAGCCCAAGAAATGCCAGAGGTTGACTGCAAACGAGGCATGGAGTATATTCTGCCTCAAAAGGAATTTGGCCTCAATATTGCAACATGGAAACCCTGACTGAGTTTCGAACCTTCCTATCCTATCCTGTGGACTTCAGAATGAAGACTGCAACATCAGCTCTTACTTGAATTTCCAGCCTGCTGGCCTGCCCTGCAGATTTCAGACTTGACACCCCCCACAATTACATGAGCCAATTCCTTAAAGTATATCTCTCCCCATGTAACACACAGATGCGCGCACACACACACACACACACACACACCCTCTTATTGCTTCTGATTCTCTGGGGAACCTTGACTAATGCACACCCCTCGCTGATCTTTCTCCTTTCCTTTACCATATTTCCTGTCATAGTGTCATTTCAACACTGAAGCCAAAGTTATCCTTCAAAACAGTTATCCTTGAAAATGTCACTCTACAGCTGCAGACTTTCTTTCTTTTTTCTGAGACAGAGTCTTGCTTTGTTGGATCCCAGGGTTCACTGCAGCCTCTGCCGCCTGGATTCAAGCAATTCTTATGCCTCAGCCTCCCTGGGATTACAGGAGTGTGCCATGATGACCAACTAATTTTTTTTGTCGTTTTAGTAGAGACAGGGTTTCATCATGTTGGCCAGGCTGGTCTTGAACTCCTGGTCTCAAGCGATCCACCCTCCTCGGCCTCCTAAAGGGCTGGGATTACAGGTGTGAGCCACCGCACCCATCCCAGCTCCAGACTTTCTATTGACTTCTGATTTCAGAGTAAAATCCAAAATCCTTACTCTAGCTCTCAAAGAACTACACGAATGATTCCACTCTGCCTCTGAGATCTCTTCTTCCTCTACAGTTCCTCTCTGCAATACAGTTTTTTTTTCTATAGCCCTTGTCACCATCTGACATAGTATATAATCACTTGTTTATTTGTAAGAATTAAGCAATAATTTTGTCTCTTTCGCTTATTGCTATCTCCATAGAATC